GTGCACCTATGGATGAGGACAGTGGGGGGGGGTGAGGGAGGAGGGAGGGGGGGAACTGGGAAGAGGGGAGTTATGGGGGAAAAAAAGAGGAACAAATGTAATAATCTGAACAATAAAGATTTAATTAACAAAAAAAAGAAAAATGCAAATGGTCACTTTAACATCTGAAAAATGTCTCACATTTTCAAGTATAAGTAAAACAAAATTAGTCAAAATGATAGATAATAGCCATTGTTAGTGAAAATTTTTGAAAGTGGGCACTCATATTGGTATTAGTATAAATTGGTACAGTTTTTGGAGGGTAGTGATCATTTTTAATAGGCATTTCCTTAGACATAGTAATTTCACTTGCAAATGTGGACAGTAGCATATGTAAATGATATTCATTGGAGCATTCTTTGTTACTGCAAAAAAATCAGAAACAGTTTATATGCCCAATAGTAGGGCATTGGCTCAATAAATTATACTGTGTAGCAATTAAGAAATCTAAAGTTGATGAATAGCCCCGGCACAGAAAGATAAATACAAAATATTGTAGAATAAAACACCATGGATGGATGTATATTGAATTAATCCATTTGTGTAAGATAAAAAAAAACATTCGTATGAGCATTAAAATTCTTGAGCAGCATACACCGTCTGTTCACAGTGATTATCTTAGGGAATGGGATTCAGGAATTAATGGAATTGTGACTTCTTTTTCGTGTTCTTTTATATTGTTTGAATTTTTTAACTTGTGTCACCTTTATAATTATGTATTTGAGAGGAATAAAAATGTGGATTAATTCATGCATACTTCCCAAATACTGCTTTGCTAAATTAAATTTACATAATACATAAAAATAACTTAATAACTTCAACAAGTCAGTTTTATTCCTTGCTTTCCACAGGGGTCCTATTTAACAGTTAATATAATGTAGAAGACTGACACTTGTGAAATATATGCCCTGAAACCTTTGAGAATATTAGGAGTTTCAAAAACCACCAAGGCATTTTTCCCCCTCATGGAATAGAAATGAAAATTTAAGCAACTTCTTGAAGTCCTTAATGAGAGAAGTGAAGGTCACTAGAGAACAACAAAGCTTTGCTGAGATGTGACTGTTGGGTACCTACTAGAGATAATTCACTTCCATATATAAGCTTCGAGGTGAAATTCCTATTTGTGCTGCTGCAAAATATTACTCTATACATTCAGGGTCAGACTGTTCAAATATTTAAAACTAGAGGCCCAGTGCACGGAATTTGTGAACTTGGTGCGGGGGCGGCGGGAGGGGTCCTCAGCCCAGCCTGCACCCTCTTGCAGTCCGGGAGCCCCGCGAATCAATCGCCCTGCAGCCGGAGGCCCTGCCCACCTGCCTCAGCTCTCAGGTTGGTTGCCTGGGCCTCCCTCTTTGGGCCAATGGATTGCAGAGCCCCCCCTCCCTGATCAGTCGCCCTGCAGAGGGTGGCCTGGGCCTTCCTCTGTGGGGCAATCATGGGGTGATGGCGGGGCCCCCCAACCAATCGCATCACACCCATCTTGGCTGGCCTGGCGCCAGGGCGTGTCATAGCATGGCCATTGGGTTGGTCGTTCTGCTGTTCGTCTGTTCAGTTGATTTGCATATTACACTTTTATTATCATAGATGGCAACTGTCAAATCTATGAATGTAGAGGAGATGCTGTATTGAGGCAATCTTCCTCTTAAAGAGATATGTGTGTGGATGTGTTTTCATAATGGTTTTCCTTATTATAACCAAGGAAAATTCAAAAGAGTGCAGAAAGGAAAATAAACACCCATTCCTTATAAGCCCAGAAATACCATGGTTAAGAATATTTGTGTTTAAGAACGGATTTAAAAGCTGTTTTGTAAAGGGGCAGCAGTTGGAACTTTTTAGGAAAAAAGTATGTTCTGTGTTTTGTTTTTTAACCCATAGAAACCATTACAAATGGGCATTAGGTTTTCAGAAGAGCTTAAGAAGCTTTTAAAAACCCAGATGGAGATGACTGTGGTAGCTCTGCACTAGCTCAGTGAGAGCGTATGATGTTGCTTCTTTGTTGAAATTCCCTAGTGGCTGCCCCGGGCACACCAGCCTTCTGACCTGATGCAGCGGACAGTGAGGCTGCTTCGTTGTCTGGGTACAGTAGCAACTGTGGGACTCCTGAGCCTGTTGTAGCTGCAGGGAGAGGTGTGAACAGAAAAGAAAAGGGCTCCTAGAGGCAGCTGGGCCACCATTTTTTAAACCAAGTGCTTGAAAAACCAGGCTCAGCTTGTGTTGCTTGTTTGACATGATGCATGGGCCTTTCATTCTGTTTTGGTTTATCACGTGGCCTCACATGAAAAGGAGGAAACGGCGCTATCTTGTGCATAAATGGGCTGTGGGACCGCTTGGTGGTCACCCTGTAAGTCTTAGCTTCTCAGAAAGGTAGAAGGAAGAAAATGCTGGGAAGCAGGAAATGCTGGGAAACGGCGAGAAGCTGAGGGATGGGAGGTTGCTGGAGGAAGGGGGCTTCATTAGCAGAAAAGGAGTAGGTGGTGCAGGCCCGGTGCTTCCACCTTTTAGCTGTTGTGAACAGTGCTGTTTTGAACATATATGTACAAATGCCTGTTTGAGTCCCTGCTTTCAGTTCTTTTGGGTATAGACCTAAGAGTGGAATTGCTAGATCATATGGTAATTCTATGTTTAACTTTTTGAGGAACCAGCCACACTGGTTTCCTCAGTGGCTGTACCATCTGACATTCTCATCAGCAATGCATGAGGGTTCTAATTTCTCCATATTCTAGATAACATGTTATTTCCCATTTTTTGTTTTTTAAAAATAATAACCATCATGAGTGTAAAATGTATCTCATTGTGTCTTGTTTATTTTTTAAACTTTATTTATATATTTTTTATTTTTTTAATCCTTACCCGAGGATATTTTTCCATTGATTTCGTTTTTTTAAAATATATTTTTATTTATTTCAGAGAGCAAGGGAGAGAGAGAGATAGAAACATCAATGATGAGAGAGAATCATTGATTGGCTGCCTCCAGCATACCCCCTACTGGAGATCTAGCCCGCAGGCTGACGCTCTATAAACTGAGCCAAACCAGCTAGGACTCCTTGTGGTTTTGATTTGCATTTCCTAATAATTAATGAAGATGAGTATCTTTTCTAGTGCATGTTAGCCATTTGTATATCTTATCTTTGCCCATTTTTTAATTGGGTGTTTTTTAAAGTAAACCATCCAAGCATTTTTATTTATTAATATTCATAAATACAGCAGTTTCATTAGAGGCTAGATAAGTAAATATTTTTGGTTTGCCCAGCTGGCATGGCTCAGTGGTTGAGCATTGACCTATGAACCAGGAGGTCAGGGCACAAGCCAGAGTTGCAGGCATGCAGGAGGCAGCTGATCAATGATTCTCTCTCCCTCCCTCTCTGAAATCAATAAAATATTTTTTTAAAAAAATATTTGAGGTTTTATAAAGGTCCATGTCCCAACTACTCAATCCTGCTGTTGCAGCCTAAAAGCAGCCAGACAATATATAAAGGAGTGGGTGTGGTTGTGCTCCAGCAGGACTTTATTTACAAAACCCAGGGTGGCTGGTTGTGGCTTGGAGCCACAGTTTACCAAGCTCCAGACTACACAGATCTTTTTAAAAAGTAGGTGGATAGATAGGTAGATAGTTAGGTAGATAGGTGGTCTATCCAGGGGACTGAAAGTAAAGTCTGGAACAGAGGATTTGTTGCAGTACAGGAGGAAGGTTGGTAAGGTAGCCTTCTGTAATCTATGTTTATTTTCTAATAAGTTACGACTTTGAAACTGCTTGATCTAAAGGTGATTTTTTTATGAACTTTGAGAGAAAATTGCTGTTTGAACCTTGATTTCATTAGGGTAGTTTTTAAATTTTTAAATCAGAGTTATTCAGACTATCTCATTAACAATAGCAAACCCAACAACAATAATACCAACTTAAAAAAAATACCATCTGTCATTAATTGATCATTACCAAATGTCAGACATGATGCCAGGCATTTTGTACACATTAGTTGTCTCCCTTATAGCAGTTCTTCACAGTAGGTATTATTATTGTTATTTTTTTATCTTCATTTTGTAACTGAGGAGAGCTGACTTTTCCACAGTCACACATAGCTAATAGAGCTGAGATTTGAGCCTAAGTTGCTCACTTTCAAAGTTCAGTCTTTTTCTACAGTATACTGCCTCTATTAAAGGCTTCCTGATGTAATGCTGTCACAATCAATTTGGTTTTAGATTGTCTTCGCAGTTTTACCGACCTAGAAGAGCTTGATGAGACAGAGTTATATATGTGCCACAAATGCAAAAAGAAACAAAAGTCCACTAAAAAGTTTTGGATTCAAAAACTACCCAAGGTAAGTGTTGAGTTTCAAAGTCTAATGCAATTTCAAGGGAACAGTGCTTTTATGACTGATAAAAAGCAAATTGTTTCTGTAACTTCATGTAATCTCTCCTGTATTAGTCTCTAGTGTTTTCAGTAAAAGCTAAATAAACCCTCTGATAAGGCATAAATGTATCCCCATCATAGTTTGTAGTGTGTGGAGGGGAGAGAGGTTCCCACTGCACCAGCTGAGTGACCTACACTCCAACTCAATTCTGACACTGGCTGAAGGGAATGTCATCTTAAGGGCTCAGTCCCACGACTGTCCTCCGCTTCAGAGCCAGTCATAAGCCTGGGTTGCTGCTTTAGGTTCTGACCTACACATTGGAGGTTATCTTATCCGCACCCGCACTCCCCACACACAAACACACTTTGCACTTTAGATGCCTATTCTTCTGATTGGCTATAAATGAGAGATTTCCAACCTCCCTCCTTGGGTTCCATTAATTTGCTAGAGCAGCTCACAGAACTGAAGAAACCTGTTTAGTCGCTAGATTACTGATTTACCAAGGACAGGAATCAATAACGAGATGAAAGGATACATAGGATGAGGTCCCAAAGGACCCTCCTGTCTTGTGGAGTTTGGGGCCCAGCATGGGGCATATGAAAGCATTCTGCTTCCCCACCCTGGAACTCTGCAGGTGCCCTCATGACATAGACATAACTGATTAGAATCCTGGCCATTGGCCATTGATTCAACTTCCAGTCCCTCTACCCTACCAGAGAGCAGGGAGGTAGGGCCCTCATCCTAAAGTGAGGTCCACCAGTCACCTCATTCACATAACAAAAGACCTTGATTACTCTCATCACTTAGGAAATTCTAAGTTTTAGGAGCCATATACCAGAAAAGAGAACTATGACCAAACAATACGTTTTATTATTACAAATCACAATATCACAATAGTATGTGCATGGAAGAAAGCCATGTCCAGGATCAAAAGATAAACTGATAAGCCACCTGAAATATTTGAGAGACAGTTAACCAAGTAGTTTGTTTACAATCTTTGCCTTTGTTTCTGATCCAGGTGCTATGCTTACATTTGAAAAGATTTCATTGGACAGCATATTTAAGAAACAAAGTTGACACATATGTAGAGTTTCCACTGAGAGGTCTAGACATGAAATGCTACTTACTAGAGGTAAGGTGATACCATTGTTAGCTGGTGAGAAGACACTCTTCAGTAAAATTAAGTCTTCACTGACACAGGGTAGAGGTCATTGAGGTGGGAGATATGGATGCCATTGACCACTGCTCCTAACTCAGTCCTGGGATGCCTTCTCCCTTGTCTGCAGCCTGAGAACAGTGGCCCTGAGAACTGCCTGTACGACCTCGCCGCTGTGGTGGTGCACCATGGTTCCGGGTGAGTACGTCAGGAATAGCACCACTCTTGATAATTCTCCCCAAACTCCCTAAAAAATGTGGATTCAGGTACATTAACCCTTTGAGTGCCAACCAATATCCTAGGAACTATGCTAAAATTGCCAAGGCATTTTTGCTGATTTTACAGCAGTTTAGGAAAAAAATTATGAATCACAAGTAAATGAAGTTACATATTCAAAAACTTAAGGAAACCTTTACTACACTGACATATTTAGCAATATCATCGTCACTAATAAAAGCAGACTTAGAACTGGACACCATTTCGAAGCTTTGACAGCGCACCCAGCACTTTTGGCGAAAGACAGGAGGAGCGCGATCAAGCTCCCGGGCGCTCTAGGGGTTAAAGTGGGTGAAATAGAATTTTCCTTCAGTTTTGGTGTGAAAGAATATTCCTGCAAGAATGCTGTGAATTGAAGGCACATAAAAGCTAAATGGAACATGGTTTATTTGAGCCCAGCATCCAGAACTCAGTCAGTTGTTCACTAATGCGGAGCATTCTTTACTCAAGTAATTTCCTTTGCCAGTTGATGTTTAAATAGGTAAAATGGAAAATTATTTATAACTTACTTCATGTCCTGTACTTCATTTTTTATTTTGTTGAATAATTTTTGATTATTTTTCTCTCTGAAAGTTTGGTCTGAGAATGACTATTTTACCTTCAAAAAGCCACTATCTATATTGAATATCCTTTTCCTCAGAACTTTGTAGACTTTGCTCCATTGACTTCACTCAGAATTATAAACACACCCACTACAATTCTGACTCTTTCCTCCTTTTTTAAAAAATATTTTTTTATTGACTTCGGAGAGGAAGTGAGAGGGAGAGAGAAATAGAAACATCAATGATGAGAGAGATCATTGATTGGCTGTTTCCTGCAAGTCCTACACGGGTGATCAAGCCAGCAATTCGGGCATGTGCCCTGACTGGGAATTGAACCGTGACCTTCTGGTTCATAGGTTGATGCTCAACCACTGAGCCACATTGGCTGGGCAACTCACTTCTCTATAGTCAACCTGTTTTCTCTCTTTGAAAGGTCGTAGGATCCTCTGTCTTTGGACTTAAGAAATAACATCAGATATATTCCTGCTTGATAGTTGATAAGGGACAGTCTTAGTCTGGTGCCTTCCAATAATGGGAATTTTTTTCCCCACCCATTCTCTCCTCACCTGTTAAATGTATAGTAACGTTCTTGGATCTTTCACATATTATTTCAGTTATTCTTTAATGTTTTCTATTTTTTTGTTCCTGAAGGTGGCCATGGCCTATTTTGCCAAATCAGCAATCTGCGTTACATCTCTCCAAATTAAAGATTAGCACCTCCATGAATTTTTATATTGTGGAGATCACGTTTTTTCTCATAACTGTTTCATAACAGCCTGTTCTTGTTTTATGGTTGCAGTATCTTCTTGAAAACATTGGTTCTAATTAGAATTTTTAAAGTCTCTTTTTTTGCCTTCGTTTCCTCAGTTGTTAATTACTTTGTTTTTTTTTTCTGGTACTTCTCTTTCATGCTATTTTTTTCCCTCATGAGTGATGATTTTGGGATGTTTATTCAGAATCATAATAAATGGTGAGATTGGTCATTATTGGTAAACTAGAGGCCCGGTGCACCAATTCGTGCACGGGTGGGGCCCCTCTGGGTGACCTGCAGGGATTGAGCCACAACCCATTCCAACGCCACCTGCAGCTCCTACCTGCTGCTGCAGTAGCAGCAGCAGCAGGGCTCGTAACCGTGAGCCCTGCATCTGGCGCCCTCCCAAGGGGAGTGGCCTGTGGGACCAGGCTGAAACCAGCTCTCTGACATCCCCCGAGGGGTCCCGGATTGCAAGAGGGTGCAGGCCAGCCCAAGGGGCCCCACCAGTGTGCGATCGGGCCGGGGAGGGACCATGGGAGGGCTCCAGGGCGTGCCCGGCCCTTCTCCCCCAGTCCCGATCGGCTGGACCCCAGCAGCAAGCTAACCTACCAGTTGGAGTATCTGCCCCCTGGTGGTCAGTGCACGTCATAGCGAGTGGTTGAGTGGCCTTAGCATATCATTAGCATATTATGTTTTGATTGGTTGAACAGTCAATTCGTCACCGGATGACCAGACACTTAGCATATTATGCTTTTATTAGATAGGATTAGATAGGATGGTAAGGGTTTTCTAACAGTTGTGAAGGTCTCTGTTACACCTGCAGGCTCTTCTGCCTGGGAGAGCGGCGGGTCATGCCGATGGAAAAAAGCCCTGGATGGCCAAAGTAGGGGAAAGGCACTTTCCTCGAGCTACGTACTTTCTTGAGCTCAGTTCCCCCCCACCCCCGCCCCCCAACTCTAATGGGAAGGCTGGTTCTGTTTTCTGTTTCCTATAGGTCTTAGCCTGTGCTTGTTAGGTTGAGAGTTACTCAGCTAGTTTCTCCATTAATCCAGTGCCGTGAATACACCTTTATGTTCTAGAAAATCTTCCGCTTCTGGTTCCGGTGTCAGTCTCTGCCTTGTCATGTCAGTGGGTTTTGAGGATAGACTTGTGAGCTCAGTAAACCATCTTCAACCGCAGTTCTCTAGAGTTTATCCCATGATAGCACTTCCTAAAGTCTTATCGTCTGACTCCTCCTTACAGGGTGGGTTCTGGACATTACACAGCATATGCAACTCACGAAGGCCGCTGGTTCCATTTCAATGACAGCACTGTGACGCTGACGGAGGAGGACACCGTGGTGAAGGCCAAGGCCTACATCCTGTTCTACGCGGAGCGCCAGGCCAGAGCGGGGCCGGATAAACTTTAATGCCTCCGCTCAATCGTTACTCGTCAACTATGCCGGACAAACATTTCCAATTTTCCGTAAATACTTGATCCAAGATTGAATTTCATTATGCACTTTTCAATTTCCTATTTGGGGTTTAGTTTTATTTTGTCAATGGTAGTGAACATGGGCACCAACTAATTTTTTTTTTTTTTAGTTCTACCAGAAAACCTCAGCAGATATTTTGATTTGCTGCTTTAGTGGTAATAATTCAGTTTTTATATGTAGTTCCAAGAACTTAGTTCTATTGGACGTTTTTATATTAATGTTTCAGTTCTCACTTTGAGGCACATTTACATCAATGCTTTGTTGCTCTCACATGCTGACAGTAAGGCCTGTTCCTGACGGGAGAGCACTGCGGCTGCCTGCTGCTCTGCACAGCTGTGCCGGAGACCAGGCCGGCTCTGAGTCAGGAATCACGTGCATGTGTGATCTGTGGCCCATGAGGTTTCAGTGACTGCTCAGGAACCATCCGTTCTGCATGTAAAGGTAACAGGGCATCACGACGTAGACCAGGGAACGGATGCTCTTGTCTTTCTCAAGGCTGCTGTTCATCAGCACGAACTAAATAACTTCGTTGGTTCAGTGATATCTGTACTTCAAATTCAAGAATTACTCTGTTGATTTTTAGGTTTTGAGGTATATTTTTAATGTGTGTTTTCATGGAGAAGATAAGAGTACAGAAAAGACCAAATGCATTTAGTGTTTAAAAAATCCTCTGACTCAGCTACATGGTTTTGGTGCTCCCGATGAGATGCGAACATGGCTTTGTTTGCATCAGCATCTGTTCCCCCATTCACTGTAGCCCTGGGGATAACGGCATGCTCACTGTGGTCTTCGCCTAACTCCAGAGTTTATTTTGACCACCTACTTCTCAGGTAACACTGTGGGCCCTGCTTCTACAGAAGGAAATGAGTCTTTATGGCCCTATTTCATTGGCCTATCCAACTTAGCAGAGCAAGTTGAAAGTATTCTCACTTTGAGTACGTAGTTTCTATCTCTTAGTAGTCTCTCTAAATTTTCAGGAAAAATTGGTACAAGCACTATTCAAATTTAACTCAAATTGAAATTTGGAACTAGAATCCCATGTTAAATCCCACATTCCCTCAGAGCAGACCATATCCACTAAACCAGTGGTTCTCAACCTTCCTAATGCCGCGACCCTTTAATACCCCTCATGTTGTTGTGACCCCCAATTTCATTGTTACAAATTGAACATAATTAAAGCATAGTGATTAATCACAAAACAATATGTAATTATATGTGTTTTCCGATGGTCTTAGGTGACCCCTGTGAAAGGGTCGTTCGACCCCCAAAGGGGTCGTGACCCACAGGTTGAGAACTGCTGCACTAAACACTTCTTTTTTTTAAAAAAAAAAAAATCTAATTAGCTTTATTCAACAATTTGTGAATCAGGTAGCATCCCACCCAGTAAATAGAAAGGTGCTCCCATCCGCTAACACTTCAGCATGACCAGGAGCAAACTGAGATCATGTCTAACCCTGACCTACCCAGGACAGTGGTCACAAGCCACACATTTAACTAAAGTTAAATAACTCAGTTCTTCAGTCACTCCAGCACGTGGCATGGTTCTGCGCAGACCAAGACGTTCCATCATCTGTAGTTTTCTCGGACGGTGCTGGTCTAAGTTTTCACTCCAGAGAAAAAAAGCTTTGCCGTCATGTTTAGGTCTTACAACTTAGTCTAGAAGATAATTAAGAGGAACATATTTAAAATAGTTCACAATGCTAAATTACATTACGTGAACCATGTGAAACTGTTTTTGATCTACAAAAATTAGTTTCACTTAATTTGACCTAACATATCAATACCTTAATTTAACACCACTCTCATCTTGCTGAGCATCTCTGATGAACCCAGGCCCGGAGTCTCCCAGTGGGCAGCTGCCATTGCTTCAGCAGTAAAGCCTTGGGCAGTGTCGATGGTGACGGGGAAGAGCTGTATTTTTATACCAGATGGAATCCAGCAGCAGACTGGACTATAACAGACCACTTGTTGCGGGAAGTGGTCCTCAGACAGGCTGGCACTCTTGGCTCAAAAGATGCACACATCTCTTGAATTGCTGTAGTATTTTTATTGCTTGATTTTACTTGAGCAGAACTGTTTGAATATCATGAAGGCTCTTTGGAAAAGTGATTGGACCCATTTGAATTGTGCGCTTACTGCCAGTGATGTAAATGTGCCTGTTTGTATTTTAAAATTTAACTGTGTAGCCTTATCACACCTCTTAAAAGCTGACCTTTTTGTGCTCTTCAGGGCTTTCCCTGTGCCACGCTCTCTCGGGCTTGTGTGGCTCCTCGCCCAGAGCTTCTGCGGAGGCAGGGCCTCACGCCGTCACGTGGCTCCTTGGACGAGAAACCTTTCTCAGAAGTCCTCCCACCTAGGTGGGTGATAGAACAGTTTGTGGCAACACAAATCTCTCTCCATGGTGGAGAAACCTTTGCTAATCCACTGTATTCTACTCAGTGTATAGTGATGACAAATGTAACAGAATTAAACCAGTCAAGTGTACTGGCCCTGGTTGAGTGTTAAATGTGTATCTCACCTGTGGAACCTACTCAGCAGCCTGGTTTCTGGGGTTGGGAACATACTTATTTCTTAAAGCCAAACCTCTCCTTCATTGGTTTAGTGTACATGTGTCTATTTAGATTTACTAACCCCACTTCAACCTCCCTCTCCCCTAACCTCTCTCACGTCCCCTCTGTTGCTGAAGTGGCCTCTTCCCTCAGGCCCTGGAAAAGGCATGAACTGTCTGTTCCTGCAGCCAGGGCATGGGTCGCCGTGACCCGAGTGCAGCCACAGGAGGCGCCCACAGCATGGGGAGAGGTGGGCGCGGGGCAGTGTCATGCTGTGGCCCAGGTCCCTGCTCGCTGCCTGGATGCAGCACCTCCCCCTCAGGTCAGAGTGTGCCGGACTCCAGACCGCCCTCCGCACATGTTGGCTGTGCTATAATCATTTGCCATTAAAACCTAGTGTGTATGATGCCGAGAGGATTAATTGTGCAAGTGACTGATTTCATTTAAATTGTAATCACCTCCCTTTTCTGCTTCACCAACCTGAACTGTTTTATGGAAAGTATCATTAAAAGTCTGGTCTCTTTCCTTCCGACTATTATTTCTGAACACCTTTCAGTGGAGCCCAGTAAATAATAATATCCTCCCTCAAGCTCCGGGCCTTGTCAGTCAGCAGGTGGTAAATCCTCACAGACCCTCCTCATCCGGGGCTGCTGGTGACTGGATCCGGATGAGGTGCCTGTGGGTCAGGGTGGTGGCGGGAAGAGACCCTCCAGTGCTGCCGTCAGGAGCCTGTGGGAGCTCACTGCGGAATGAAGTCACCCTGTCTCTCCTGGGCCAGCTGACCTTAGAGAAATGAGCTCGGCTCACCTCCTTCACACTAGACTCGACCCTGAGGAACCAGGTTTTGGACTCTGAACGAAGGATGCTGATCTTCTTACTAAAAGAAGGCAAGGAAGAGCTGTTAAACATTCTGCTTTACGATCAGCTACTGAATACTACCTTCTCTGCCCATGTCCCCTCTAAACAGAAAAAAGAAAAAAAAAGAACTGCCCTGTGTCCACACCATGGTGTTCCTGTTACTTATTGGCCTGTTCCTATAAGTCTTCTAAACCTGAAGACGGGCAGTGAACACACAATACAATATACAGGTGATGTGTTCTAGAACTGTGTACCTGAGGCCTATGTAATTTATTAACCAATGTCTCCCTAATAAAATTCAATGAAAAGGAAAAAAATAAAACTGAAGACAGAGGTGCCTGCAGCCCAAAAGCTTTTGCCTCCAGGTCCCGTATACAAGTTGGCAGCTGTGCTGGTCAGAGGTTGTGCAGCTGCTGCTGTTGCAGCCAAGGAGCCAAGCTCCACACAGAGAAGAGGAAGGCGCTGTTGCCATTAACAACCCAGGCCTGGGCCAGACCCCTCCCTGCCAAAATGCATGCCATGTGGGCCCACCCTGCATTCTGAGACCTGTCCCAATTTCATTGTTACAAATTGAACATAATTAAAGCATAGTGATTAATCACAAAAACAGTATGTAATTATATATGTGTTTTCCAATGATCTTAGGCGACCCCTGTGAAAGGGTCATAAGACCCCCAAAGGGGTCGCGACCCACAGGTTGAGAACCGCTGCTCTAGACAGTCCCTGCTGTGTTCTGCTGTTCCAACAGGGCAGTGGGGATGCAGATTGGAAGCCACACAAACCAGAATGACCCTTCCCAGTGGCTCACACAGCCCTGCCTTTTAAGTGAATGAACTGCCTATTTCCAGGGTCAGCCCTCAGAGAAGTGCTCATTTGGGAAGGATTGGGGAGGGGAAGTGATCATACGGCTTTCTATTAAGCCCGTCTGTGCTGTGCAGCGAACCTTTTGAGTGGGGAAGTACAGCGAGGGCCTTCAGCTGCCATTTTTAACAGTTAAAATGATTAGCTTGAAATATTAGCTAGTTCCCCTTTCCTTTGATAAAAGCTTCCTTTTAGCTGTTTTGCCGATTTGTCCTCAACGGAGGACAGCTGAGACTGGCTTCTAGGAGCAAGGGAGCTGGCCAGAATCCTCTCCTTCCTCAGCCGTATCCGCTTTTAAGGGCAGGCAAAGCTGCACTGGCCTGACCAAGCTGGAGTTCCTGAAGGGGGTCCAGCATAGTTGCTTCCTCTCTCTTACTCTACAAACTGGACATAAAGAATTCCTGTTCCTTCCAGTGCCAGTTAAATGGGAGAAGGAAGAAAGGTAGCCCCTTGGGTGGAGTTCCCTGGCCCAGCAGAGGGAGAAAGGGCTGCTCGCCTCACTCCTGTGGTCCGACGCAGCTTTTTACTATCGGCATTGCACCAGCCACCCACCCACCCTGTACACAAAGCCAGGCCCTCGGAGCAGGGAATGACAGCAGAGTCCAGGGTGGAACGGATTCGAGCAAGCACGGTTAGGAAATGGATCCATGTGTTGGAAATCTGGTTACTTTAGGAGGGAGAACTTAATGGAAAAGACTTCCATGCAGTCTGCTAAGCAGAAGTAAGGCATTCACAAGGATGGTGGGAGGTTCGCTTAAAGGGAAAACGCGGCCTAAAATACTTTCACCTAAAGTTGTTTCACGCAGTTTTGTATGAAGAGCTACTTTATCCATCCTGAGTGTTTTGGAAATACAGGCCATATACAATAGGACACATTAGAAAAAGGTAAAGCAAGTAAATCTAAAACATGACATACAGAAGAAACCCGAAAGGTAAGCTACTGAAGGTAAATGTTTTAGGAACCACTCGGGATAGAAGCAGAGCCATGGGAGGCCCAGGACACCCCTCTGCCTGGTGGAGGGCAGATCAGCCCAGCCTGGAAAAGCCATCACCACCGAGTAAGAGCAGGAGAGGCATTATCCGTGTCTGCTCACAGCTCAGGAAACAAATGTCACCCTGAGCTCTTTCCAGACAACAGGCTTCTTCCTACTAAGAGTGGCCAAACTCCAATGTTCAGGAGAAGAGCAGATCCTAATTACAGTCAGAGTCCCGCCGTGTGCAGAGCTGCAAGCCCGGACAGAGGTGGTCTGGCTGGCCACCTAGAATGAAAATG